ATGTCAATCATATTTTAAAGAAAGTTAGATTTGTATCCTGCAAAATTAAATACCTTGGGAATATATTGACAGAAAAATATCTTCGAACATTATACCATGCACTGATTGAGCCTCATCTCACATATGGTATATTAGCATGGGGAGCTGCATGTTCCTCACATATCTATAATTTAGATGTTTTTCAAAAAAGTATTCTAAAAATGATATTTAAAAAACCGAAACTTTATCCCACTGAAAAATTATATGCAGATGTTCGAATGTATGGTATAAGACAGCTTTATTTCTTACACAGTATCACTCACTACCATAAATTTGTAAACACCGACCAAAAAATTAAACATAATCATTATACCAGGTACAAAATTCGTGGCACAGTAGTTCCTCAACCGCATAAATCTATAATGCAGCGATCATATCTCTATTTAGCGCCTAAATTTTATGAAATTATACCTAAAGACTTAAAAGATTTACGTTTCGGAAATTGTTTTAAAAGAAATTTAAAAAAGTGGCTACATTCTATATCTAGGACTGAAATTCATAAACTCATAAATACGAACATCAACTAAATACATAATCTACTGTAGCTAATTTTTGTCCTTTTTTGTCATTTGCATTCTACAGTTTCAACTTAAATTATTGGTCCATGTACAGGCGATGCCTTCTATTGGGCCTGTTTTGATTTTATATTTATTTACTCATATTGTTTGTTATCTTTGTACATTGAGTAAATAAATATTATTATTATTATTATTATTATTATATAGACTTTACAATTATTGTATAATATTTAAATCCAGCTATCTATTCTTAAAATTACCACTATTGCTAATAGTTTTAGATGCACAATTGTATTCAAAATACTGTGTGTGCACCCCATTCACATTGTTAAGTGTAACTTTTTCATTGAGGTTCTTAATTCTAGTTTACAAAGAGAAAAATAAATATAAAAATAGATCAAACAAATTCAAAGCTATTATGTTTTATCTTAAATTTTAGGAACTTAATACCTTTAATGCTACAGGTTTTTATATTACATAATTAATGGCGTATTGACTATCAATAATCCATCTTGTTAATTCCTTTTTAACAGTAGAATATCTCAATCTCTTAATACTATTTAGCACATCATTATAAACTTTTGGACCTATACAGTAAACGTGACTCTGGCAAGCTGTGTGTCTAGGGTTTTGCAATTTTACTTTTGCATGAGCAGCACTTCTTGTATTTTGGCCATGCTGTAAGTATTCTTTGTAGAAATCATATTTTATCATAAATCTTATAAGTGATCTTAAATAGAGCTGCTCTAGGTTCAGTATTTTACTGTCTCTAAAAACAAGTTCAGATGAATATCGTTTCGGTTTGAAAAGCATAATTTTTATGATCCATTTCTGAGCTACCTGTAACTTGGATAACGTTGCTAAACTTGTATTTCCCCAAACTACGAAACCATAAGTTTATGGAGTAGTACCCCTTTTATTTGGTACCTCACGTTTAGTGGTTTTGGTTTGGGTCCATTTTCTTATGGGATTTTAATTTCAGCCTGGGAAGGCCATCCTCCGAGTTTTGTTTTGTAGATGTCTTGTAGCTGATATACACTTCCTTGCGGAACACCGGAAATCAAACGTCAGTTATTGCCAGGTTTTAGCAACTAATTTTCAAATCAGGGTTATGTAAGGCTTTTGAAAGTTACAATTTATGATCGAAAAAAGTTTCCTCCAAGCTCCCTCTACTATAAAATCTAAAATATGTACGAACACCTCCGAACAGTGTCATAGAACAGTTCATTAGCTTTTTGCACAAAGAGCACTTTCGTGGCGCTCGCTTCCTAATTGGACCTTTATAAACTCGACTGGTCCCCTTAGCACTTCACACTCAGCTTAGTTGACAGTTTAATTGTGTTGAGAAACTTCCATTACAAGAATTAGTGCGGAGCGTAGGCAAACTATGTGGTAAGGTCTAAAGTTTCTTTGAGAGACACCTCGAGCTCCACTTTTTGCCCTTTGCATCGATCCGCGAAGCTCAGGAAGGTGTTGTGCATAATTTCTGAATAAAGCGCGGGTTGGAGACGGCGAGATTTATTCAACGATCATCAACGATTCCGTTCTTTGATTAGAAAAATTGACGGTACGCTCAGAACAACTGTGGTAGATGGGACTTGCAAGGGGGTTTACTACTAGAACTAGGTTTAATAAAAGGTGCGGTAAGCGTTATATCTATATATTTATAAAAATGCGTCAAGTAGGTTGACTCTGTACCACCTATGCGACGCTGTCATCAGTTGAAAGAAAGAAGACGAAAATATTGCGTTACGGCACGCAGAACAGAGAAATTGCGGGCGGATTTCACCAACGATAATATTTAACGGTCACTTTAACTAAGTGAAAAGACCTTATCGAAATGCAATTTGATGGAAGCTGTCAAAGGTCTTAATATACTCGTATTATAATATCAGTAATTGAAATATTGAATAAAGTCGTGAAAAAGCGATTGTATTATAAAGAAAAGCACTTTCTCTTTCCAGCATGATGCTTTCCTACAGAGGAAACACGACAACTTTCATGTACAGCAGACGCTCGATAATGTAAAATAATTTAATCCAAGTGTGGTTCAGATTATCGAAATGTTTACATTAGCGAACGTGATTTATATAATATTTGATTTATTAAAAGAAACGTTTAATACATACTATTTATAACAAAAAACAAATATTCTAACAGCGATAAGTATTTTTTTAATTAGAAGAAAAATAATTAACAATTTTTGTCTGCGTAAATTTGCGCTTAGCATTGTCTTCCAATGCCTGCGCACGTAATTTACGAAGAACTAAAATATCCGTGTATGAAACTTCTTTTCTTTCAGCCTAATCTAAAGCTTGGTTAAAAACTTGTATAGCTTGCGCGTCAGTCACTACATTTCTGACTTCAATGGGATCGTTCTCATCATCCTCACTGTCCATATCCTCCTCCTTATCAGCATCATTCGTCTGCTTTTCTTCGTTCCATAAATTAATATCAGCAGGAGTACAAACAATGTTGGGATTCACACTAATAACATTATCATTATTGGATCGCAAACGTCCTCTAATTACGCTTAAGGAGACATCGTCTTCTTCATCATCTTCATTATTGGTACAAAAGAGATTGTTCCAACATTTTTGAATAGTTTGCTGGTTAAGTTCATGCCAGGCCATATGTAAATCTAAAACAGCTTCTCGTATTGTTACTTTTTTTAAAGCCTCAGATAAGTTTTCAGGATTCTTTGATAAGACAGACGAAAGTAGAAACTTCCTATAGTATAGTTTGGTGAGTCTTATTATATGCTGGTCCATCGGTTGAATTAACGGTGTTACGTTGGGCGGCATGTATGTACATGACGAAAATTGACCCATCCCTGCTCCTCAGTTGTTGCTCGGGAGGATGACTTGGTGCATTATCCAATAGTAACAACGCTTTTATTGGAAGCTTCTGTTGTTTTAGGAAACCTTTTACCTACAAATTGAAAACATATCTTCAAATTATGAATAGAGCATTTGTGATAATTGATTGTCATACCTGAGGGACAAAGCACCTGTGGAACCATTTCAGGAATATACTGCTAGTCATCCAAGCGGTTTTTGAACAGTCATAATCAACAGGGATATTAACATTTTTAAATGAGCGCGGATTTTTTGCTTTCCCAATTACCAGTGGCTTTATTTTGTGTGAACCATTAGCATCAGTGCAGGCTAGAAACGTTATTCGTTGTTTCTCCGGCTTTCTTCCCGGGGCAGATTTTTCAAATGATGCAGCATAGGTTTTCTCTGGTATATAAAGGCCACTTTCATCTGCGTTGTAAATTTGTTCCATTCTTAAATCTAGCTCGGTAATTATTTTCATCAATTTTTCTTTGAATGGTTGCACTAATTGTGGTTGTGCTGATAATTTTTCACCAGATATAGACAGCAGTCGAATTCCATCTTGTTTTGAATCATTGTAGCCAGCCATCACTAGCTACGAAATTTTCAGTTTCTTTCAATTTTCCATTTAACAGTCTCGCTCTCTGTTTAAGTACTTCGCCACTAACTGGGACATGATTTTCCCGTTGGGTTAAAAACCACTTATACAGGGAATTTTCCAGGTGCCTTCGCATTTTTTTAAGTTTATCTTTTTCCCGGACCTCCAAATGTATTGCACGTTGTTTGTAAAATTTGAGTTTTCATACGCTTAATTTTACAGATTGTTGCTTTCGATACTCCATATTTTTTTGCTAACTGTGTCACTCCCGCACCTAGTGCAACTTCGTCTATAATTTTCACTTTCTCACTTAACTTTAAACACTTTCTTTTATAGGATGTGGATGCCATAGTGGTAAAATATATTAACGCGTGCAATGTATTCACTTAAGTTCAAAAATGAAATACATACGTACGTATAAACGTATCCTAAACGATCATACGACTGACCGAGTTTGTCGTATTTTATCGCAGAGGTGAATCCCCTACACTCTACATCATAAATCGGGGACTCCCCGACGCCCGACATAAATCATCGAGGCTTCAGCATTTTACCGTCGCGCTGTTTCCGTGCGCCGAGAGCTGTTTACGTTATCGAGCGTACACATTGTTTACGTTATCCCGCATTCCGTTTGATCCTATAGAACGAAGTTTGTGTTTACATTAGCGCAAGTTTTCATTATCCCGTGTTTACGTTATCGAGCGTCTGCTGTATTTTGATATTTCTTATCAACATACAAGTAACCAATGAAAATGCAAGAAGGTCAATTTTCTAACTATTATATGGCAACGTTGTCCCTTTCCACATCTGCGCGGCATCTCTGCAAATTTTATTTTATACGCTTCTATCAATATGGCGGCAAATGCTCCAGCTCTGCCACAACTGCGATGTAAATTTATCTAAAGATAACACAAAAAAGTTATTGTCTTTAGAATTGAAGGAAAAAATACCTATTTCCTAGGACAAGAGTCTGGTTCTGTCGATCTCGAACATTTTGTTTTGTTCCAGTGACCAACAAAATGTCTCCTCGTCCGTCAATCGTTCCGCTGGACACCGGGGACTCCCCCACTTCCGACATCGGAGCAGGCACGACCGTCACGCAACCCGAGGCCCCTCCCAAGGAGCCTGCAAGGGGCAACTGCAGGGTGTGCCTGAAAGCCTTCAGAGGTCACCAGCTGGACCAGGCGAGGTCCTGCGCCGAGTGCTCGCAAAGGGTCTGCGAAGACTGTGCGAGTTACAGCAAGATGGACGACGGCGAAGATACTAGGAATTGGACTTGCAGTGTTTGTAGAAGGTATGTGGAACAGGCAGGGGGGCAAGGTGCGTAGGTAAATAAATAAATGGAACGTGGACATTTTGGAAACTCCAATTTGCATATCAGTAAAACGAAATGCCATTTTTTACATAAAACAAACTAAGCAGGTCAAAAGTATTGTAACGGGTGATTTTTTAAGAGGTATAGGATTTGATTTTCAAAAAAAAAAACACAAAAAATTTGAAAAAACGATTAAATCTTTATTTGAGTCGATAGAACGATCGATATAATTTAATGTTTAAAGATCATTTCATGTAAATGTTGGTCGCGGCTCCGCTTTAGATGGCCCATGTGCAAGGTCCAATTTTGGAACACTCTCTCCAACATATCGGCCGGCATCTCACGAATAAATGCTTCAATATTGGCTTCCAGCGCGTCAATCGTTGCTGGTTTATCTCTGTAGACATTAGCCTTAACATGGCCCCACAAGAAATAGACCAACGGCGTTAAATTACACGATCTAGGCGGCCAATTGACGGGCCCCAAACGTGAGATAAACTGTTCACCGAACTCGCCTCTCAATAGGGCCATTGTTTTGTGTGCGGTGTGGCATGTGGCACCGTCTTGTTGAAACCACATGTCAGCCAAGTCCAGCTCTTCCATTTTGGGCAAAAAAAAGTTTGTTATCATCGCACGGTAGCGCTCGCCATTCACAGTTACGTTCCGGCCATTGTCGTCTTTGAAGAAGTACGGCCCGATGATGCCACCGGCCCATAATCCACACCAAACAGTGATTTTTTCGGGATGCATTGGTAGCTCTTGCAACGCTTCTGGCTGGTCTCCACTCCAGATGCGGCAATTTTGCTTGTTAACGTACCCATTCATCCAGAAATGAGCTTCGTCTTCCTCCAACTTTGCCAGCGCCCATTCACCGAATTGGAAACGTTGTGGAAGGTCGTGTGGCTTCAATTCTTGCACCAGCTGTATCTTGTAAGGTTTTACACCCAAATCCTTTCGCAAAATTTTGCTCGTAGTGGAGTAACAGAGGCCCAATTGATGCGAACGGCGGCGAATCGACATTTCACGGTCATCACTGACACTGGCGGATACAGCCGCAATATTTTCTTCAGTCCTCACTCTACGTCTGCGTGTTGGTGGTTTAATGTCCAATAATGTAAACTGGGTTCGAAATTTAGTCACAAGCTTCCGAAAAGCTCCCTCAGTAGGCCGACCAAATTGCCCATAAATTGGAAGCAGTGCTCGAGCACTCTCTGAACCGAACATGAATTTTGATAGTAAAATTCAATAATTTGCAAGCGTTGTTCGTTCGTAAGTCGATTCATGGTTAAATTATATACCAAACTGAACAAGTTTGACGATGACACAAGATACGATTCACGCGTCATCTGTCAAAAACAGTGTTGCCAAAAAGATACTAGCAAAAAAATCAGAATCAGAATTAACCCCACAGCAGTCTATTTTAATTTGATTTTCACAGCGGAACTGTCCCAAAAATCGCGAGCCTATTAGTTTCTGTGACAGCCAGCCTCGAAATTCCCGGTAAGAGTGCCCCACTTTGGTTCCCTACTAACTTTGCAGATTGTAAAGAGCCGAATATGTCTTGACAATTCGGAAAATATGTTTTTTATAGCAGAGGACGAGAAGTAGTCACTTTCAACACGCATCTGCGTGCAGAAAGTAGCTCTTTTCCGCACGCATAGCTTCCAATACAACATAGTACGTATTTAAATTTCGGCAGAAAAGTATCACTTTGCGCACTTGTTAGGTAAATAACTATTTCAGCCTGTAAGCGTGCCTCGGTAACAAACATGTTTACTTTTTTTAGAATGCGATTAAGTTGCTTTCCAAGTAATGCACGGCAAATTCATTTAGATAAAAGCTCTATCCGAGGATATGTCTATTAGGAATGGCGTTTTTCGTGTCAGTAGTGATGTATTTCCGCTGGTAGGGCGGGCAACGCGAAAATTCGATATTCCACGTTGATACTGTCCAAAATAAATCAAGCGGCAGCGTTGGTTCCCTCAATGATCTTCCAGCTAATCTATGCTATGAATTATCGATACATTAAATCCTATATTACGTACCTAAGTTGAGAAATATGTTTTATTGAGCGAGCGCTCCTACATCCTGAGACTTCTAAGCCCGTTTCAGCTAAAGATTAACTTTGTTAAGTTCAACTTTAAGAAAAGTATTCTTATGCACCGGTTTCGCTTAGTATTTTCCTAGCTGAGAAGATTTTTAATCCTACAACGCTGAACCTATTACAGGAAAGAGTTTATTTTATGTATTTTGAATGTCGTTTGACATGCTTATCAGAATGAGCCAGTTCCATTGGCCGTGATTCTAATAGGCTAGTTGACACTTTTTTTAAGTAGGTCTTAATTACTTAATATTTGTTCTATACTAAGTGACATATAAATCCGAACACCCAGTTTAAATGGTTTTATTTTAATAAAATGTTGTATAAGTACTTAATGAAGCATAATAAGTAAATGATAAAAATTTCAAAATGATTGCACTGCTTTAAAGCCCTTTGACCTTTAATAATGTGTGGATGCACTCTCTCAATGTCCTCCTGTGGTATCTCATTCCAGGCAACCACCAACTCCTCTCGAAGTGCTTCTAGAGTCTGAGGAGGACGTTGCAAATTGAGCAATCTCCTACACATCATATCCCACACGTGCTCAATTGGGGATAAGTCGGGAGATCTTGGTGGCCATGGTAACAATGTGACATCATTATGTTGAAAGAAGTCTATTGTGACTCTTGCAACATGTGGTCGGGCATTATCTTGTTGGAAAGTTGGATCTGCCAGGGTGTCAAGATAGGGTAAAAGATGGGGTTCTAGAACTTCGTGGATATAACGCTGCGCGTTCATGTTACCTCTGATGAAGATTAAAGGTGACCTGGAACCATAAGCTATAGCACCCCAAACCATAACTCCAATAGTGTGATGAACATGTCTTTCAACAAAAAACTGTGGATTCCTCCTTTCACCACGTCGCCTTCTAACCCTGGCACGACCATCGTGCATGCCTAAACAAAATCGAGACTCGTCACTAAAGACAATACTGTTCCATTCCTGATCCCAGAGTGACCGTTGTCTGCGCCACTCAAGGCGATTACGTCGGTGTTCTCGAGTTAAAGGGAGGACCCAGCGTGGCCGGTATGAAAACAAGCCAAAACTTCTCATTCGTCGGTAAACACTTCGCATGCCAATAGGTCTTCCGTGTTCTGCAAACCATTCATTTGCAATAGACCTGGTAGTGGAGAAAAGGTCCCTTAAGGCCAATAATCTTAGGCGGCGATCTTCACGGTCTGTTGTTCTACGGCGGCGTCCAGTGCCCCTTGCTCTTTGCGTACGGCCTTCTCGAAGCCATGCCTGACAACACCTTACCACAGTGTCTACACTTCTTTGCACTCTAACTGCAATTGCCCGAAAAGAAAGTCCAGCTTCCCGAAGTCCCACTATACGGCCCCTATCAAACTCACTAAGTTGAAGAAATCGTACAGGTCTCCGTAGTCTAGGCATCGTAACTGATCGTAAAGGATGTCAAGAACCAAAATCCGCCAACATTGATTCTTTACTGCGGCTGAAATATTCATTTTTAGAGCGTTAGTGAATTAAAAAAAAGCAGTATAAAAACCGGAATGTCCAGCTGATAAGGCTGAAAATTTTTTCACTTGTTATTTACAGTACGATAAATACATTCACCAACTTTTATTAAAATAAAACCATTTAAACTGGGTGTTCGGATTTATATGCCACTTAGATAAAAAGAATATATAAAAGGACTGTAGTGCTCTGATGTCACACTGTTTGTAAACAGCAACTGACGGCAGCATAATCTCTCAAACTTTTGTACATATAAACATGAAGCCTACTAGTTAACAAGAAAAATATAGTAGACATCGTTATTGTGTCGTCCGAGAATGTAAAAGCACACGATAAAGACTCCAGGAAAGCTGTGGATTAGAGCGCCCAGGGAAATAAATATACACTACACTGTGTATTGCTTTTGGGGCATACTTTATGTTCGTAACATATTTTACATTTTACTGTGCAGATTTTATCGTCCCGTTAAATTGGAGGTTACCTACGGCATCATCACCGTACGATTTTCTTGCCAATGTGTAAGAAGAAATACAATAAAACTATTTATAGGTTATTACTCATGAGCTTAATTTTGAATGACTTTTGAAAAGGAAAGTTACGTAGGAGTATCACTTATTCTTTCTTTTTATGCCTATCATTGTATATATTTTTACGTAGAAGTCTTTGTTCATAAACCATCAGAGTATCAATTTTCGGAAAAGTTGTGCTTTCTGCTTTTACGAATCCAATGTCCATTATTGTTTTTTCCATAAAACGTTTTACGTTGATTGGGAGCTTTTTAAGCATATTTAGAGGATACAACGTTGGTCTACGAGTGACATACGGATGATGTTTCTTTGTTTACGATTTGTATGACGTCACGTCATTGCCGACAGTGCTTTTGCAGCTACGTATTAAGCATGAAAAATATATCTTTACTTAATCAGGGTGTTAGGGAAATAATATCCGTAACTTTAAGAAGTGATTCCTTGCATTATTCTAAGCAAAAAAGTTCGTTTAACTTATGTCCGAAAATCAATCGTATTCAAGAGAAGTGAGTAGCAAAAGATTAAATTTTCTCAAACATTTGGCAACGCTGCGACGCAGCCGCGATACGGGCGTACGACCACCACAACTGATTCATCGAATTGTTTACGTTTGTATGATATTTTTGTTGAAAATATGCCTTGAATTATTGAATACTTTTACGCAATCCTTTGCGGCTAATATTTTTTTTAATAACGCATACAGTACATTTACTAGAAAAACAAGACAGTACTTACCGGTACGTGGCGATACACACCACCCAATTCCCACGATTATCAGTCGCTTATTTGAAACGGTGCGAAGCACGAAAGAAGAAAAAACCAACATCCATAAATCGCATATAGTGACAGTTAAATGTATTAGTAATCGCAGCAACACGCGATGATACATGCAGTGCAAACGGAGTACGACGTTGCCAGTTGTGTGAGGGATTTTGTTTGTCTGTTTTTCTTCGGAAAATTGTATTTAATAAGCGAGAAATTTATTTTGTGAGAGACAATTAATAAAAAGATGTATCGATACATGTTACGCTATTAGGCATATGAATTTAAATTATTAAGGTGCAAGATTAATTTACTTCATGATTAAAAAGAAATAAGTTCAGCATTTTTTTGCTCCGAAATGGTTGATTTTCGGACATAATGTTATACTAAGTGACATATAAATCCGAACACCCAGTTTAAATGGTTTTATTTTAGTGAAAGTTGGTGAATGTATTTATCTTACTGTAAATAACAAGTGAAAAAATTTTCAGCCTTATCAGTTGGACATTCCGGTTTTTATACTGCTTTTTTTAATTCATTAACGCTCTAAAAATGAATATTTCAGCCGCAGTAAAGAATCAACGTTGGCGGATTTTGGTTCTTGACATCCTTTACGATCGGTTACGATGCCTAGAGTACGGAGACCTGTACGATTTCGTCAACTTAGTGAGTTTGATAGGGGCCGTATAGTGGGACTTCGGGAAGCTGGACTTTCTTTTCGGGCAATTGCAGTTAGAGTGCAAAGAAGTGTAGACACTGTGGTTAGGTGTTGTCAGGCATGGCTTCAAGAAGGCCGTACGCAAAGAGCAAGGGGCACTGGACGCCGCCGTAGAACAACAGACCGTGAAGATCGCCGCCTAAGATTATTGGCTTTAAGGGACCGTTTCTCCACTACCAGGTCCATTGCAAATGAATGGTTTGCAGAACACGGAAGACCTATTGGCATGCAAAGTGTTTACCGACGAATGAGAAGTTTTGGCTTGTTTTCATACCGGCCACACTGGGTCCTCCCTTTAACTCGAGAACACCGACGTAATCGCCTTGAGTGGTGCAGACAACGGTCACTCTAGGATCAGGAATGGAACATTGTCTTTAGTGACGAGTCTCGATTTTGTTTAGGCATGCACGATGGTCGTACCAGGGTTAGAAGGCGACGTGGTGAAAGGAGGAATCCACAGTTTTTTGTTGAAAGACATGTTAATCACACTGTTGGAGTTATGGTTTGGGGTGCTATAGCTTATGGTTCCAGGTCACCTTTAATCTTCATCAGAGGTAACATGAACGCGCAGCGTTATATCCACGAAGTTCTAGAACCCCATCTTTTACCCTATCTTGACACCCTGGCAGATCCAACTTTCCAACAAGATAATGCCCGACCACATGTTGCAAGAGTCAGAATAGACTTCTTTCAACATAATGATGTCATATTGTTACCATGGCCAGCAAGATCTCCCGACTTATCTCCAATTGAGCACGTGTGGGATATGATGGGTAGGAGAATGCTCAATTTGCAATGTCCTCCTCAGACTCTAGAAGCACTTCGAGAGGAGTTGGTGGTTGCCTGGAATGAGATACCACAGGAGGACATTGACCACCTGATCAGAAGCATGCCTAGGCGCGTTGGAGAATGCGTAGCACATCAGGGTGCATCCACGCATTATTAAAGGTCAAAGGGCTTTAAAGCAGTGCAATCATTTTGAAATCTTTATCATTTACTTATTATGCTTCATTAAGTACTTATACAAAATTTTATTAAAATAAAACCATTTAAACTGGGTGTTCGGATTTATATGTCACTTAGTATATAATGAACTTTTTTGCTTAGAATAATGCAAGGAATCACCTCTTAAAGTTACGAATATTATTTCTCTAACACCCTGTTTATTATTCTTGCGCTTTTAAAAATTGGAATCGATATATTACGTTTTCCTAAGCCAAATTCTGTAAGAATAGCTTCACGCTAAGCTTCATCCTCAATAAATTTGATGTGAATTGTCGCCTGACCCATGCACAAGAAACTGGTAGTGCTTTCTATAGGATCGTTCGCAATTATTCGAATATTATTTGTAAACATTTTGAATAAATATTATTATTAAAAATGTTGCTACTGCATTACTTTGATCATTGCATTTCTTGACCTACTTTACAATAGACACGTTAATAAATCTCTTCAAAAGTGAGACTATCTAACGGGATTAAGCGCATCTAATTTACTTGTCGCGTTGAAGTTATTTGTGTTAGCTGCAACCCCAATTTTCCCATTAATATAGTGTAAATTGCTAGCTCTATCATCAAACGCGCTACGAAGCTATTTGCTCAAGCAAAGCAATGGGACGATCTCCTAACCCTCAACTGCCGAGTATTACCCAGTAATACCACGTCCTGCATCCCGCTAGTTTGGTCTGTATGTTATGATAGTGGGATTATCCCTGATTCAGGGATGTGGAAAATGCCTAGGTTATTAATTTTTTATAATCCGGACTTCGTGTGGATGAACCTACATTTAAAGCCACCGCGCGTAAATGGAATTAAAGGAAACTTTAATTAAACGTCAAATAGGGAATGTTGATTAAATAATCTTTAAATGAGATAAATAACTGAACATGAGCGCGCGTGGTATCATGGATCAGGAGGATCTTATCGTCAGAAGTTAAGAAAAATACTTATAATATTCTTCTTCCAAGTTCATAATCATAATCAGGAATTGCAAGGATTTCAGTGAAACTATCGTCTCTGTATTTCAGTCTAAGTAGATCCAAACAGTGTGTCCCCGGTTAATTTGACAGCTCTCAAAATGTGACATTATTCAGACAAAGGCAAATAAGATGGCGTGTTTGAAGTGTCTCAATCGTCTTTTGTTTTCCGCAATCTGCCTCAACTTTTTTCTTATGACTGCATATTAAATATTTCGATTTTTTGAAAGATCGTAAAATTTCCAGCCTAGACATGTCTCACAAGTGCATAAAAGATTGGAGTATCATCGAAATATCATCAGTCGTAATGTTATGTATTATTTTTTTTCTAAGGAGGCCATGATTTATTTGTCAGAAAAAAAATTAACAAGTAACGCATTTTTTTCATCTAAGGAGGCTCTGACTTTGATGTCAAATGATTCAAGGTATTAAAATTGTGTTTTATAATAATAATAGACGAGATTGTCAAAACCTGTTGAAAATGGCCGGTGTTTCCTACTCAAATGAAGAAAAGTTTGACATGTTAGCGCTGTACTTGCAGTCACACAGAAACGCCGACATTACCATTATGAAGTCAGTCGTAATATTTTATATAAGAACATAATAAATATTACATATACTAAGTGACATATAAATCCGAACACCCAGTTTAAATGGTTTTATTTTAATAAAATTTTGTATAAGTACTTAATGAAGCATAATAAGTAAATGATAAAAATTTCAATATGATTGCACTGCTTTAAAGCTCTTTGACCTTTAATAATGTGTGGATGCACCCTGATGTGCTACGCATTCTCCAACGCGCCTAGGCATGCTTCTGATCAGGTGGTCAATGTCCTCCTGTGGTATCTCATGCCAGGCAACCACCAACTCCTCTCGAAGTGCTTCTAGAGTCTGAGGAGGACGTTGTAAATTGAGCAATCTCTTAGCCATCATATCCCACACGTGCTCAATTTGGGATAAGTCGGGAGATCTTGGTGGCCATGGTAACAATGTGACATCATTATGTTGAAAGAAGTCTATTGTGACTGTTGCAACATGTGGTCGGGCATTATCTTGTTGGAAAGTTGGATTTGCCAGGGTGTCAAGATAGGGTAAAAGATGGGGTTCTAGAACTTCGTGGATATAACGCTGCGCGTTCATGTTACCTCTGATGAAGATTAAAGGTGACCTGGAACCATAAGCTATAGCACCCCAAACCATAACTCCAACAGTGTGATGAACATGTCTTTCAACAAAAAACTGTGGATTCCTCCTTTCACCACGTCGCCTTCTAACCCTGGCACGACCATCGTGCATGCCTAAACAAAATCGAGACTCGTCACTAAAGACAATACTGTTCCATTCCTGATCCCAGAGTGACCGTTGTCTGCACCACTCAAGGCGATTACGTCGGTGTTCTCGAGTTAAAGGGAGGACCCAGTGTGGCCGGTATGAAAACAAGCCAAAACTTCTCATTCGTCGGTAAACACTTCGCATGCCAATAGGTCTTCCGTGTTCTGCAGACCATTCATTTGCAATGGACCTGGTAGTGGAGAAACGGTCCCGTAAGGCCAATAATCTTAGGCGGCGATCTTCACGGTCTGTTGTTCTACGGCGGCGTCCAGTGCCCCTTGCTCTTTGCGTACGGCCTTCTCCAAGCCATACCTGACAACACCTAACCACAGTGTCTACACTTCTTTGCACTCTAACTGCAATTGCCCGAAAAGAAAGTCCAGCTTCCCGAAGTCCCACTATACGGTCCCTATCAAACTCACTAAGTTGACGAAATCGTACAGGTCTCCGTACTCTAGGCATCGTAACCGATCGTAAAGGATGTCAAGAACCAAAATCCGCCAACGTTGATTCTTTACTGCGGCTGAAATATTCATTTTTAGAGCGTTAGTGAATCAAAAAAAAGCAGTATAAAAACCGGAATGTCCAACTGATAAGGCTGAAAATTTTTTCACTTGTTATTTACAGTAAGATAAATACATTCACCAACTTTTATTAAAATAAAACCATTTAAACTGGGTGTTCGGATTTATATGTCACTTAGTATATAAATACCAACATTACAGAAAGTAAAAGAACCAACCAATAGAAACAAACACTTCAATATATAGAATAGTGTATACCTAATATGGATAAAAGACCTTTGGCGTTGACCATACCAATTTTGAAATAAACAGTGATATTTTAGTCTTTTTTAATCGATTCTGTATCTTTTCACATGTTCATCACTGGAAACGACACAGTATAAGACTTTCACCAAAAATATCATCTTTGAGCCATCATTTTAGAGACCGTACAACATTAGCAACATAATTCTAGAAGCCTTATGAAATAAATGAGGGTAATTGTTTTCCTATAAAGACTGTTATGAATTTTCCAGTGGCGTCCCTTGGGGTCTTGTGTCTCAGTATGAAAGCTGTCTAGGAAATTCGTAAAGCAATTTTTCAGTCTTGCATTGAAGTTTCCTTTCACTTCCCATGGATGGAGTATTGAAATAGAATTAAATTCATAGACCAAACTGATCAAGTTTGACAATGACACAAGACACGATTCACGCGTCGTCTGTCAAAAACAGTGTTGCCAAAAAGATACTCGCAAAAAAATCACCCATTAGAAACGTTTTCGATCTCCTTCTGCTATTTGAGCTCACCGAGGCGGTGCTTCAGTGAGCGTTGACGTGATAACTTCCAGTACGGCAGGAAAAGGTTGTCTATGGACGCATGTATCTGCTTGACTGACTTGATCGGTTTTATTTTTCTATTCGACAGAGAGGCTAACTTGTGTCGTTTTTCCAGAAAAATGCAGTCTCGAACCGTGCTATCCCAAGACTCGAACGAGAGCCTGCTGGAGATTCCAATCCAGGAATTGCAACGGAGACACTCCGAAACGCGTCTGGGCAGCAGTGCGGGCAGCGATGGTCTATCTGTAGGGGGCTTCGGGGGCGGCTTGGCACCCCCTAGGAGCCCCGAGCTACGCAGGCACTCTGATGTGTCGCCTTCATCACTCAAGGAACTCGAAAAGGTAAGCTACAAAGTTGCATATCTATTTAATAGGCGATGCTATCTTGGACTTTTGGTCTTACGAGGGTAAAATCTACAGACAGCTGAAAAACACAGCTAATAATTTGAGTTAAGGAGAAGCCTGATCTGCGGGCGAACACTAAACACGTGGACAGGGCGGCCGAAAAGCCTAAAAAAGTAGGACGAAAATTTTACATAGCCTCGTAACATATGTATGGAAATAGTTCATTATGACTTATGGGGTGTTATCGTGGAGTCACTCAAACCAGAGGTTCAGGGTCATCTCGAACTTAAATAATTTTTTGTAAGTAAATGTTATTATGCTGACTCTGAGTTTGTTATTCTATGATTTATTTGTTTTATACATATTATTGAACCTGTAATAATTAATTTTAATCTTTCGGACGATGACTCAAGTACTTCCAGCGAATAAAGGAGACTTGTGCACTTCTTTCTATAAAAATAATCATTTATTTTCTTAGATTCTTTCAAGACCATTGAGGCAAATACGGAGGTATAGCTTCATTATGCTCTTATTCCGCTTTTGACACTGCATTTAATATAACCCAATACATATTATACGAATATACATATAGACGTGTACAGAATGCAGCTAGCAATCCTTTAGTTCGGTGACAGCTGCTAGACAGTAGCCAGAAGCGAATCGCCATCTGAATCGATATAATATTCCCTGGATGGCCACATGAATGGGGATTGGATTCATATAAACTGGCTTATACAGGCGGCATATATCTTATATGTTGCACGCGATGTTCAGATTATTCTGGGTATGCTGGATAATATCCCTAGGAATTGTAATAATTGTTGCTGGGATATGGACATACCTACACATAAAGTAGGTATATCGATTCGTTTGTCAATGTTCGAAGCAACCAACTGTTTACATTTGAGTATCATAAAACCAACTTGATTACGTTTTCTGCCAGAGAATGATGATTAGAAACGTAAGTACTTATATTTTTGAGATTCTCAATAGAAATGCGATTTGTCTTGAAGGTTTACGTTGCGGCAGTATTGGAAAAGCAACGCCGTCATATACACTGCCGTTCGACAGTTTCTGGAAACGGACAAAAGAAATGGAAGCAGGGTCATACAGATGAATAATGTTTCAAAATATACTAAGTGACATATAAATCCGAACACCCAGTTTAAATGGTTTTATTTTAATAAAAGTTGGTGAATGTATTTATCTTACTGTGAATAACAAGTGAAAGAATATTCAGCCTTATCAGTTGGACATTCCGGTTTTTATACTGTTTTTTTTTAATCCACTAACGCTCTAAAAATGAATATTTCAGCCGCAGTAAAGAATCAACGTTGGCGGATTTTGGTTCTTGACATCCTTTACGATCGGTTACGATGCCTAGAGTACGGAGACCTGTACGATTTCGTCAACTTAGTGAGTTTGATAGGGGCCGTATAGTGGGACTTCGGGAAGCTGGACTTTCTTTTCGGGCAATTGCAGTTAGAGTGCAAAGAAGTGTAGACACTGTGGTTAGGTGTTGTCAGGCATGGCTTCGAGAAGGCCGTACGCAAAGAGCAAGGGGCACTGTACGCCGCCGTAGAACAACAGACCGTGAAGATCGCCGCCTAAGATTATTGGCCTTAAGGGACCGTTTCTCCACTACCAGGTCCATTGCAAATGAATGGTTTGCAGAACACGGAAGACCTATTGGCATGCGAAGTGTTTACCGACGAATGGGAAGTTTTGGCTTGTTTTCATACCGGCTACACTGGGTCCTCCCTTTAACTCGAGAACACCGACGTAATCGCCTTGACTGGTGCAGACAACGGTCACTGTGGGATCAGGAATGGAACAGTATTGTCTTTAGTGACGAGTCTCGATTTTGTTTAGGCATGCACGATGGTCGTATCAGGGTTAGAAGGCGACGTGGTGAAAGGAGGAATCCACAGTTTTTTGTTGAAAGGCATGTTCATCACACTGTTGGAGTTATGGGTTGGGGTGCTATAGCTTATAGTTCCAGGTCACCTTTAATCTTTATCAGAGGTAACATGAACGCGCAGCGTTATATCCACGAAGTTCTAGAACCCCACCTTTTACCCAATCTTGACTCCCTGGCAGATCCAACTTTCCAACAAGATAATGCCCGGCCACATGTTGCAAGAGTCACAATAGACTTCTTTCAACATAATGATGTCACATTGTTACCATGGCCACCAAGATCTCCCGACTTATCCCAAATTGAGCACGTTTGGGATATGATGGGTAGGAGATTGCTCAATTTGCAACGTCCTCCTCAGACTCTAGAAGCACTTCGAGAGGAGTTGGTGGTTGCCTGGAATGAGATACCACAGGAGGACATTGACCACCTGATCAGAAGCATGCCTAGGCGCGTTGGAGAATGCGTAGCACATCAGGGTGCATCCACACATTATTAAAGGTCAAAGGGCTTTAAAGCAGTGCAATCATTTTGAAATTTTTATCATTTACTTATTATGCTTCATTAACTACTTATACAAAATTTTATTAAAATAAAACCATTTAAACTGGGTGTTCGGATTTATATGTCACTTAGTATATTCATTATCTAGTAGGTCATATGATCGATCACCAATAAATACTTTTTTGATCTCCTGAAATCTTTGTACGAACCTGGTTTAGAAAAAATGCATGGTTTTTGGGATGTCCTGGTATATAATAGACATGTGCCATTTTGGAAATATGCATAAAAGCCATCTACTATCTGTCGGTTCCCAAATCCCAACCAGTAAAGAGTATATTTGCTATTGTGTCAATCTAGAACGGCAAAGCTGTCATTTGGGATCGACCCGTGTTAACTTTGGTTGCCACACTGTGAGCAAGGTACAGTTTCGATCAGAATAATGATTATTTATTAAACATATTTTTTGGATACTCATCAGCATGGTCTAGGCTTGGTCTCTCGTTTCTAGGACAACGAACGGAAGCATAGCAACTATACAGTATCAAGCGTGAGATCTATCTAGATAACCGCCATTTACTCTGTTTATCTAATATTATTTATGCTATGAGCGCATAAGGTTTCTTTCAGAAATATGAATCCAATCTCCATCCTTGTAATCATATCGATATTTGTGAAGCTTTCATATATAAACTGATATAGTCCTTGAAAAATGACACAGCGAAGTCCCCATTAGATCAGGACGACGACGCCGCTTTGTCAAATAAAGTTATTGCGTATGAGTTTGTGCTTTTATGAAATCATCGATCCTCCTTTCTGCTGTCCAATAAATAAAAGCTCACATGAAAGAAACAAGATTTAAAAGCTTAAAAGCTCTATCTCCAGCCTACAAAGGCCTAGTCCGAGCGTGAGCTCCATTTTCCAATGGAAACAGATGTGCATTCCCGTGTTTTTTTACTTTTTTTCTATGATAAAGGACCATTGCTGTTTACGAGTATATATACATGAGAGACACATACATTAGTCACACATTTCACAGAACTGCTATAAGAATAACGTTTTGTATTCTGTAGAAACTGACAGTGGTGTAATGTAGAAAATCAATATAATTTCATTAAAAATCGAAAAGGTCAACTTGCGTAGTAGCTAGTCGCTAGCTCACACCACGCGCACTCGCCGTGACTGAATCGTGATCGTGTGAACCGTCCACGACTCTGGACTAGTTGGCTTTCCACCTGCCACTCAAGACAAAAGGCACGACAGGGAAATCCCAAATGTGCCACGCTATCGTCTTTTGCTCATTGAGAAAGTGTCTATCGTATAAACAGTGAAGACCTTGGTTGTGATATGATGATTCTGTTTCACATAGCGCGTTTTAAAATAGTCTATAAAATGCTTGATCCAGGTCTCACAAAAAAATAGGACGGAAATGTAGTCATATCAGTTGACAAATCAGTACAGGATACTACATCTTGCCAGGTATAGCTTATAATTGTGATATATGTAGATTACTAGTTTCCTTCATTGATGGAAGTGAAATAAGTGTTCTTATTTATTTCAGTTGAAATCTGGAAAGCCATCATCTGATCAGTCATCGAATAAACCAATGAAACCTCTTGGCAGTCCGTATGGCTCTACAGCTGATGTCGGTCCCCCACAGGTGCAGCGATCCAGACGAGGGTCCCGAGTATCACGACAACGCAGCTATGATGAAGAGGTAATCATTGATTTCATTTTCTAAATATTTAATAAATTATTTACCTATTAGTACACGGCACTCTTCCGTCATATCAAGACTCTCCAGTATGATATTGGTCAGGGCGAATGCAAATTGATAGGTGTGTTCATTCGATATAACTCCATTCCAGGTGAAAGCAGCCAAAGGAATCTCCCCCGGTGGCTCTCCAGCGACAGGTCCCGATGGCTCCGCCGCTGGCCTGGGACTGCCTGCCCCTATGCCGAGACGCGCCTCCGCCTATGACGTGTTCGCTGGCGCACCGGGCGGCCTCCCAACCGTAGCAGGCCCGCCCATGGGTAGAAGGGCATCGTTCCGCGTTGCGCCACCCACTCCGGTCGAGCAACAGAGCCCGACCACCGAAAACGATGTGGGCGGGCTCTCAATGCCGATCATCACAGGCGCAGGATTGGGGGGACCTGTACCGGAGATCGGGGAAAGGAGGATGTCGTGCAGGAGGGCATCACATATGTAAGTGAGGTCAATGTTTCCATGTTTCTTTCTTCCTCTCTTTCTGCATTTCTTCATTTCTTCATTCTCATTCTTCATTTCTTCATTTCTTCATTTCTTCATTTCTTCATTACTTCATTTCTTCATTCTTCATTTCTTCATTTCTTCATTTCTTCATTTCTTCATTTCTTCATTCTTCATTTCTTCATTTCTTCATTTCTTCATTTCTTCATTTCTTCATTTCTTCATTTCTTCATTTCTTCATTTCTTCATTTCTTCATTTCTATTCTTCATTTCTTCATTTCTTCATTTCTTCATTTCTTCATTTCTTCATTTCTTCATTTCTTCATTTCTTCATTTCTTCATTTCTTCATTTCTTCATTTCTTCATTTCTTCAGTTCTTCATTTCTTCATTTCTTCAGTCTTCATTCTCATTCTTCATTTCTTCATTTCTTCATTTCTTCATTTCTTCATTTCTTCATTTCTTCATTTCTTCATTTCTTCATTTCTTCATTTCTTCATTTCTCATTCTTCATTTCTTCATTTCTTCATTCTTCATTTCTTCATTTCTTCATTTCTTCATTTCTTCATTTCTTCATTTCTTCATTTCTTCATTTCTTCATTTCTTCATTTCTTCATTTCTTCATTTCTTCATTTCTTCATTTCTTCATTTCTTCATTTCTTCATTTCTTCATTTTCTCATTTCTTATTTCTTCCATTCTCATTTCTTCATTTCTTCATTTCTTCATTTCTTCATTTCTTCATTTCTTCATTTCTCATTTCTTCCTTTCTTCATTTCTTCATTTCTTCATTTCTTCATTTCTTCATTTCTTCATTTCTTCATTTCTTTCATTTCGTCATACTTCAGTCTTTCCATTTCTCATTACTCATTACTCATTTCTTCATTCTATCTCATTCTTCATTCTCATTTCTTCATTTCTTTTCATTCGTCATTACTTCATATTCATCTTCATTTCTTCATTTACTAATTTACTTCATTTCTTCATTTCTTCATTTCTTCATTTCTTCATTTCTTCCATTCTTCATCTTTCTTCATTTCTTCATTTCTTCATTTCTTCATTTCTTCGTTTCTCATTTTCTCATTCTTCATTCTCATTTCTTCATTTCTTCATTTCTTCATTTCTTCATTTCTTCATTTCTTCATTCTTCATTTCTTCCGTTATTCATTTCTCTTTCATGTCTTCATTTCTCATTTCCTTCATTTCTTCATTTTCTTCATTTCTTCATTCTTCAATTTCTTCATTTCTTCATTTCTTCATTTCTTCATTTCTTCATTTCTTCATTTCTCATTTCTTCATTTCTTCATTTCTTCATTTCTATTCATTTCTTCATTTCTTCTCATTTCTTCATTTCTTCATTTCTTCATTTCTTCATTCTTCATTTCTTCATTTCTTCATTTCTTCATTTCTTCATTTCTTCATTTCTTCATTTCTTCATTATCTTCATTTCTTCATTCTTCATTTCTTCATTTCTCATTTCTTCATTCTTCATTTCTTCATTTCTTCATTCTTATTCTTCATTTCTTCATTTCTTCATTTCTTCATTTCTTCATTTCTTCATTCTTCATTTCTTCATTTCTTCATTTCTTCATTTCTTTCTTTTCTTCATT